TTATTTACATGCCGCTGTCCTGTTGCCTGGAACCCGTGAAGATCCGGGTTAGAATTGGTCTTGAACAACCCATGCTGTCGTGAGGCGCGATTTACTGGATCGGGAGTTTAGACACATAAATAAAAGAAATAAAACAAAAGGGAGTGAATAGAACGAAGGGGAGATAATAAAACACTAGGGACATTATGAAAAATGGAAGTGGGAATAAAACATAAAGGGAGGTAATAAAACATAGGAGAGAGAATAAAACATAAGAGGATACTGTCCATGTTTGAAGTGACCAGTATGACATTGTTTTGTATATATTTTCAATAAACGTAATGCAAAATGTTCCAATATCTATGTTACGGTCATGAGACATGGCAATTGTCTGCCCTCTCGAGAAGATGAAACACGATGTCTCAAAAATGTCCTTATAGCCACACATCTTTAGTTAGAACCGGTAATCTCACGGTACTAAAGTTGACACTTCTTTATAAATTCTCAAATAGGTGCCGCTCTATAAGTAAGCAAGTTATCGTAGCAATTAACATGAAAATCGAAGCCAAACATTCATCAAACATTTTGTATATCTAAATTAAACCAAAGATGATGAACTTTTGTGTCAATCTAAATTTAGGTTCGCCTTCATATCCACCTTTAATCTTTTGCCTGCCTTTACATATGTCATATCTTGTATATCGGTTATTAGAACTAATTCTTTACGTACTGATTTTGAAATATCCTTCCCTCTATCAGTTATTAGAGTCAGTCTTCAGGACATTTCTGTATTTCATCGATTCACTCATATAAATGTCACCAGTTTCAGCAAAGAATCGAGATTGATAGTCTTTGGCGTTGATGTTTTGAGTTGAACCATGTCAATCTGATATTGAGCAAAACTAAATTAATCCTTTAACTTTTGTACTCTTTGGGATATAAACATAGAGTGATCAATCTGGACTAGTGGATTAAAATGCCAAACATCTTTTTCTAAATGTATATATGGATTTGAACATATTTGTGTTTATGCTACCTTGATATCTGTATCTTCTGTTCTTATGACAACAGTTGACGGAAACTGGACCGAGTGGACGGACACTACCGGTGTGTGTTCTGTATCCTGTGGAGGAGGCTCTAGAACCATCAACAGAACCAGGACCAGCACCAACCCAGCACCCAGAAACGGCGGACGGGACTGTGTAGGATCACCTTCAGATCAATACACAGAGGTTTGCAACACCAATGGCTGCCCAGGTATGGCATAGTCGTATATCTAAAACAGTTGCTGTTGGCAGTATAAAACTTGGAAAGTTAATACTGAAAAATAAAAAACCCCCAAAGATATCACCCATAGATGGAAAAACGTAGAAAAGGCGTTTGTTAGAGATACATACACATTATATACAGGTACAAATAATTACATGCACATATACATTCTGACTTAGCTGTTCTTTTTACACAAAGTTGACGGAAACTGGACTGAATGGGCGGTTACTGAGGGAGTGTGTTCAGCATCTTGTGGAGGAGGCTCCAGAACCATCTCCAGGAGCAGAACCTGCACCAACCCTTCTCCTAGCAACGGTGGAGAGAACTGTGTAGGATCACGTACAGATCGATACACAGAGATCTGCAACACCAATCGATGTCTAGGTACGTTTCGTCATATGCTAAAGTGTTAACGCCGTAGATGGTAGTCTTTGAGAAACAATATTCCAGGTACACTAGCATATGTCTATATGACAGACAATATGTACTTGTAGTACGTGTAAAATAACACACCACAACATAATACAAATCGCTACAAAGGTATTACAGAAACAGTACAAAAGAGAAATCTCAGTACACATTCAGAGGCAGTATGATACCGAAAAAGGAAATGATTTTATAAGATGGTAATATTCACCTCATTGCAACAATGGTGAATTTTCCAAAATAGGCCCAGGCTGAGTGTCAAGGGTCAGTATAATCTCCACACAATTGTGATCTTGTAAGTTGAGATATAATGTGAGATGATAGGCAAGGGTTGGCTCGCCTTATACCCCAAAGAAAGAAGACTTCAGAACATTCTCCAACTGCCTGAGTCACTATAAAGGAAAGGCCCATAGGGCTGTTGTGCGTGTAATACCTTCCAGAACTCTGTCTCAGTATACACAAGTCTAAATATATCACACCGCCGTCCACCATTGTACAATTTCATAGTTTCTGCCACTCAAAAATATGTCCCAAACTTCATTATATTTTACACAAAACAAAGTAATGAACATAAATATGCATCTTTCTTTGACAGTTTCAGCTGCATTCATCATGGTGTTCCTCAACAGCTAACAGATTACACAAGTTTGATCATGTCTAGTTCGCTTATCATCGATTAGTTCTAGTTGATAGGGGCTGGTCAAACTGGATCATTACCTCAAGCCAGTGTTCAGCATCTTGTGGAGGTGGATCTAGAACTGTCACAAGTACTAGAACCTGCACCAGTCCTGCTCCAAGAGACGGCGGTGCTGACTATGTAGGCTCCTCCACAGTCACATACGCAGAAACCTGCAACACAGAAGGATGCAATGGAAAAATCTTAGTCTATTCCCAACTTGGAGGCATAGACATACATGCATAGACTAAAATGTCACTTATGTCAGATTTTTTACAGACTCATTCTGTTATGGAGGCAAAATTGTTTGTGAATTACAGGTTAATGTGATACCATCACTTTGCGTCCAAGAGGTGGCTGTGGGTGGGGGCCTTCCGATCAGTACCTGGCGCACTGTTGTTCATCCCAACAGAAGTAAAGACATTATTTGTATTGTTTTAGATCCATGCAGTGGTTGCTGGTATGTCAACGGTATTGGATACATCCCTGACCCCAGCGACTGTGCCCGGTTCATACAGTGCCAAGAACCCAGACCCGGCAAAACTGCTATTTTCCATAGAATGCAATGTAGTCCTGGACTGTACTGGAACCAACAGCATCTGGTGTGTGATTGGCCGGCCAATGTCATCTTAGTATAACAGTGAGTAAGTGAGTTTGGTTTTACGCCGCTTTTAGCAATATTCCAGAAATATCACGGTTGGGGACACCAGAAATGGGCTTCACACATTGTACCCATGTGAGGAATCGAACCCGTGTCTTCGTCGTGACAAGCGAACTTGTAACCACTAGGTTACCCCACCACCCCATAGTATAACAAGGTACGCCGACTCAATATGTTTCTTCAAGTACCTCAGTGTCTGTTCGGATCATACGTACCAAATACAAGAACATTAGTAATATTATATATCATATGATTTCTTATGAGTTGTTCATTCGACATTACCATGGGTTAAAGTTTAGGACCTGGGAAGTACAGTAATCGTACTTTAGTTCTACCTGATGGCGGGGCCAGAACAAGCCCTGAGACGTTGTACTAAACAATAAAATGAAGATGAAACCCAGAAAAGTCTCTATGTTCATCAAATAGCATCTTCTAAAATGCCAACCAAACACCGTCACAAATAGCAAGTCAATTTTTCACGTGACACAACACTGGGGTATATGGTTCAAAGTAAGGAATTGCGTGGGCCATAATATATGACATGTCCAAAGGCTTTTTGTTTCGCAAACCAAAGAAGTATTTCTTTCCATCACAGAGGAAACATTTGTTCCTTCGACTGCAGCACCATCAACAGCTGCTCCGCTGACATCCCTTCCCTCGTCGTTGTGCGACGGCTCCAAGAAGGCAAAGCCAGGAAATACAGCTCAGTATCAGGAACTGATACATGGAAACTGGATCACCAGATTCTGTGCTCCAGGAACTGTGTACTCTACGACCAGTTGTAGCTGCATCACCGGTCAGAATGCCGCGTCCCCAGGTATGTCTGCATCGCTTCTCATTGGGGTCATTTGCTACTTTCCTACACATAGACAAACATGGTGCTGCAATTCTTACAGTAAATACATAATTTATTCAAAGGCACAATTTCACACATTTTCGACAAAACTTTGGCCTATATTATATATATATATATATATATATATATATTGGGATATATGCACTCAACATAGCTTCCTGTTGGTGCAATTTAAGACGTATTGTCCCTTACGACTTGCCTGAATATCGATAATTGAAACCTCGAGGCTAACAGCTTCCAAACAAAAAATACTTGCCATGGAATGTAAACAATTGCTCCTCACATCGAAAACTGTCGCACACGTTGTTGTCGATATTTGCCGAACTGTTTTCAGTCACAAGTTGTGCGTAGGATATTCGTAAAGAGAGCTCCAAGGGACATAACTTCGCTTGAAATAATGTTCAGCCGATACAGGGAACGAGATTCGATTTAATGCAACGTTGCATTAATTCATTCGAACTTTAAAATCTAATATTGTAATATAAATACGTACTTTTTGAAATAAATTATATGGTAGCTTCACTGAGGGCTGATAGTTAGTATTATTGAGAGAAATGCATAGTTATTTTTGTGGTGTGACATTATGCCTTTAACGTGATATCCTCACAACTGTAATTATATTTACGAAAGATGATACACATGCATCAAGTTATGGCAGTTTTGTCTGATGTGGATACAAAACAAAACGAAATGAACGTCTATTTCATTTTAGTCTGCCAGTCGGAGGTTTATCTTCCTTTCAACAGTGACGTGAACGACCATTCGACTAACCACCACTATGTACAAAACACTGGCGTTGTAACTACCCACAGTGTCCATGGCGTCTTCAGCAACAACACCCAACTCCGGATCCTCCGGTTCTCCAACATGCATTTCGGGAAGACCCTGATCATCTCATTTTCGTTCAAACGCACTCAGGCTACAAGCAGAGCTCAGGCTATCGTCACCAACGATGACTGCGGGCATGGCGGCAGCATCTACATCACCACTCAGCGGTCAACCGTGCAGTTTCGTGTTGTCAATAGCAACAACGTTACGCATGCTTTAAATGTATCGTACACAGTGGGTATTAAAAACATTTATCATACACTCCATCATATCGTGTTCATGAAGGAACGATACCTGCACCCTGCCCTAATGTTGTGATTATTTGGCCAAGGTCTTTAGCCTGGCATCCTACGCATTTGTTTGTGGACGTTGCTAGCCTATCTTGGGTAGTTGTGAGGGATGGGGGTACCTAGGTGGGGATGGGGGTACCTAGGCGGGGCTGGGGTTAAAGTTTCCCATGGCGTCTCAGTCCGAATTCGATTTGTCAAGGGTCACCTGTGAAGCACACTTCTAGTTTCCTGGCCTTACTGCAACATTGGTGCATGTCCAATGTCACCTGTGAAGCACACTTCTAGTTTCCTGGCCTTACTGCAACATTTGGTGCATGTCCAATGTCACCTGTGAAGCACACTTCTAGTTTCCTGGCCTTACTGCAACATTTGGTGCATGTCCAATGTCACCTGTGAAGCGCACTTCTATTTTCCTGGCCTTACTGCAACATTTGGTGCATAGCCAATGTCACCTGAGAAGCTGGAATGTAGATGAGTGGCTACTCCTGCCATCACATGCCTATATATCTCATTGAAAGTCGTTAGTCACTGTGAACCCCGTAAACAAAATGGACCATCGATATAGCCAATGGGTAGTTACGAATTGATATTATCCGTTTCGAATTGTGTTTTCATACTGAAGCCGTCGTCTTGGTAGCTGGGTGTTTTTCATGTCTTAGTCACCCTTGCCATTATCCTTATCCTTTGTGAGGGGTACGTTTCAGGCCACCACGTCCTTGAATGAGGTGAAGCTGATCGTCAAGGATGGACTGATGAAGGTTGAAGTCAATAACCGCAGATTACAGAGGACATTTGATGGTACGAACATTTGGAGTGGATCGTCTTCAGAATAATCCCTTTATCAAAATACTCTCTAACATAGTATGAAGCACATCGTTGAACCTCTTGCTACTAACATGTGATCGGGATGTAAACATGGGACCCCTGATCACCATTGTTAACTGTTGTGGTGTTTACAATATGTTTATTGATATTCACATTCCTGACAACTGAGTAAGTGAGTTAAAATTGTACATCGTAACCGCAATATTACAGCCATAAAGCGATCCTGACAATTGAACATTGTGCAGTACCCTCGTGGTATTATTAACTCACCGAGAAATATACAACATAATAGGCGCTCACATGTGAAAAGATACTCATTTGAAGCATTACTTTTGTTTTGTACAAAAGTAAACATCTCAATAAGGTAATTCTTTCCGTGAAGTGCCCATTCTTAATCTAGCCGTTGTCAGTTAGGTCTAGGATCAATAGGAACCGTCTATCTGTTTGTTCGTGAAAAACATCGATTACATAGAAAAATATAGGTGTCGGCCATTAATAATTTCTTGAATATTTTGCAGGTAACATCGGGAAAAGCCAGTGTGCACTGCAGGTCGGGTACGGTCATGGCCTGGACTTCTTCCACGGCGTCTTGGAAGAAGTATGCCGTTTACCTGTTCCTAATTATACATTTGTAATGATCTCTTCAGGTGTAAGATTTAATATATGATATTTAGCTTTTATTTGCTTAGCCGAAACATAAATAGATGTTATTGGCGTGAGCTGACGTATTAGAATTAACGCTTCTCAACAGATCACTTAGATCGACCGTGTGTTATGGGAGAAAATACAAAGTGACACTATCTGATGAACCAAACAAACGAGGACGAATATTAAATAATAATAATAATGGCCATCTATAACGCGCCTTTTCCACAAATTGTACATGCTCAAAGCGCTAACACATTATTACCCCGGATAGCCAAGCTGCCTGTTAGGCGCTAGAAGGTTATTAGTCACATGACTTGTCCCACCGGGTACCCACTTTCTACTGGGTGAACAGAGGCAGTTTTGAACAAACTCGCTTGCCTAAGGTGGGATCACATGATTCACATGTGCTTCGTTGTGGGGCAGGACACAAGTCCTAGAAACTCTCTCTTGAGTCAAGCTGCAAAACACAGTCACCTATTCAAGGACTGTCCGAGCTCAACGTTGCTTAATTTTAACTGATTTGTGACCTGAACTCTATGCACATGACCACACGCCAAGTAGTGCATCTTGCTTTTATGTTTCAGTTCAAAGTATACATCTGCGACCCAGAGAGCCTGTAGTTGAACATAGTGTTTCATCAAGACCCACCACGAAGTCAAATGCCGTTTTTAATATCAACTCGCAGTATTAAACAGTATGGCGCATTGTTTTGTTTCTGTCATATTTGGTATGAATATAGCTTGAAGAACCCATTGCAGATTGACGAGATACATACAACGTTATGTTCTTTAAGAGTATAATTATACTTATTTTAAAAACAAAAAATCGCTTTCCGTTTCAAGTTAGCCCGGGCAGTATGTTTTCGATAGGACAAGACACTGTGGGACAAGACACTGTAGCTCGCCTGAACTGAAAGTTCAACAAAGCATTACAGTCTGAATGTATGTTGTATACCAGTCTTTTGAAATCCCCTCAAAAAACAATGTGTAGATCTTTAATCAGTCGAATTTCCGGTTGTCTTGAAGTTAAAGTTTGATCTCTGCTTAATCCTTCTTTAGTCATAATTTACGGCTGTATCGAACTTCGTATAACTCGAAACATTTACAGGTGTACAGTCAATCGCCAGTGTGTAGATCTTTAATGTGCCTGTCTCAAAATACAAGCTTTGCCCCTGCTTGTTTAATGTTTTAGTTATCATTTTGCGGTTTTGTCGAAGCTCGGATAACTCGAAGCAATCTTCGACACAATGGTGTTTGACTGTATTTGCACCATGCATGACTGTACACATTGTTGATCATTTTGCGTAAGAAAGGACATATGTGTTGCTGAAGGGTTTCGAGAATATTGCGGTAATTTAACTTGCATGAAGAGTCTTGTCAGCTTCAATGTTATATATGATGAACTTCCCATCAATATATTCATACTCAATTATAGTAATAATCATGACACACGGTTGACTCATTGTTGTTTTCAAATTAGATGAAACAGAATTTCGATAAAACTGCATTTTTGATCACTGACGATAAGTAATTGATTTCACTAAAAACAAGAAACACAAAAGGTGATTTATATAACTGCTACTGATGTCAACTGCCTAGTGACAGCTGCTCTGAGCCTTAAACATGTTTGGGTAAAATAAAATGCTGCTTCTTTAAGTTATGAATGAATAAAATCTTTACTCACGTGTTCGTGTTTTTTTATATCACTTTAATTTTTATTCATTTGTAATTCTTGAAAGTAGGAAGAGTCTATTTCCTCAGTCTAATTTTAGAAATTACTTTGATGCCTACATGTTTGTTGGTGAGGCCGTTTTCCGTTCTTTTGCATAACCACTGTCAGCATATGTTTTTAAATTCAAGATTTGTAGTTTTACTCATATTTTAAAAATGTGGGCCAACTCACAAAAGTATCTACAGAGAAAAAGATGTGGGCCCACATTTCTGTTTCACTTTAATATCTACAGTTTAGTTGCTGATATCGTATGTAGAAAACGCTTTATATGCTTTTTAAAGGATAATGAAATTGCCCACCTTTCCTGTCGCAAATATTGGTTACTTCAACATCTGATGATGCTCTTGGATTCAATAATATTCGACTAGAATGTGGGTTACATCCGACACCCTCTAACAACCAGCTAGTAAGTGATCCATAATCAGTAATACTGACAAACACGTCTAACAATCGTAAAGGAACATGCTGCTATTCATATAGATGGAGATGACTCGCTAGATTATATAGTTTTAGTGATTATGTGACTAATGGAGGACGCAGTTTATCGTTTTCTCAGCGTCATGCGTTTCTGGATGCGAAACTAATCAGCATACCTCCAGTCTGTATCTTGGGCTAGCTCCCTTCGCAACTCTAACCACTGATAATGCGGATTCACCCATATTTGTTGTGCCTTTTTGTAGCTCACCTGGCCGGTTCTGGAATACCATACTGTCTAAACACCCAAAACATTGCACGCGGATCATATTCTCCGAAAACCCACAAATTGCACGCGGTTCTCACTCTCTAAAAACCCGAAACACTTCACGTGGATCATACTCTCCGAAACACTGCACGTGGCTCATACTTTCCGAAACCCGAAACACTGCACGTGGATCATAGTCTCCGAAACCCGAAACACTGCACGTGGATCATAGTCTCCAAACATCTGAAACATCGCACGTGGATCATACTCTCCGAATGCTTTAAACAATGCACGTAGATCATACTCTGCAAACACCTGAAACATCGCACGTGGATCATGCTCCCCGAACACTTGAAACAATGCTCGTGGATCATACTCTCCGAAAACCTGAAACATTGCACTTGGTTCAGACTCTTCAAACACCCCGAAACAGTGCACGTGGATCATACTCTCCGAAACCAGAAACATAACACGTGCATCACACACTCCAAACACCGGAAATATTGCACGAGGCTCATATTCTCCGAAAACCCGAAAATTGCACGTGGATCATACTCGGCGAACACCTGAAACATTGCACGTGGCTCATACTCTCCGAACACCTGAATTCTTGGACGTAGATCATACTCTCTGGATACCTTAAACATTGTACGTGTATCATACTCTCCAAAAACCTGAAACATTGCACGTGGAGCATATTCTCCAAAAAACCTGAAACATTGCACGTGGACCCTACTCTACAGTAACCTAAAACGAGGATCGTACTACCTTAGTGCGTGCGCGTGCGCGAGCGCGTGTGTGTGTGTGTGGTTGGTTACATTGTGATATCATTGCATATCCCCAGGCGTGCTTTCTTCCATGTGAAGTTTAAAGTGTCTGTAGCAATGCACTCATACGCACTGACAACATTGTATTGGTGTGTGGCAATCCTGAACAGTGACGCGCACGCGGAGGATAAGGGTTGAACTGTAGTATTTAGATACTGGGGTATGTGTACATTTGTGACAAACAAGAACATTAGAGTTATTGATTGACAGAAAATAGACTTGCATGTATTGAGTGTTTGAGCAAGACATGTCGCTACATGGTTGTGTGATACCTGCAGGTGTCGGGGGAGACGTTACCTGGACTGTAAGTATTATTGTTACTATTAGTTCAGTGCAGCAGAGGCTGGCCATACAGTAACTTCTTTGATGGAAAGGTCTTACACTTATCAATCTGAGTGAAGTCAATTTGTGAATAACACTGTTATAAACACAATCATGAGGTACTTGAGAGATATACAAATGAATCATCAACATGATCAGTTATAAAGAGATCTTTATGATTCTGAATGAGAAATTGGTCGTATATGGTTTTACACATACATGTCAATGAATCAAATATATTTACGCACTTCAGTTGATGACTGTTTATAACATTCACGAAATCAAAGACCCAAACACAATGTATCTCTTCATTATGTCGGCTTTCATAATGTGAGTCAGTATCCCGGTATCAGGGGTTGATGACTGTTTATTACATTCACGAAATCAAAGACCCAAACACAATGTATCTCTTCATTATGTAGGCTTTCATAATGTGAGTCAGTATCCCGCTATCAGGGGTTGATGACTGTTTATTACATTCACGAAATCAAAGACCCAAACACAATGTATCTCTTCATTATGTCGGCTTTCATAATGTGAGTCAGTACAACATTCAGATTACACATGTTGTTCCCAGGTATGAGATCTGCAGCATATGGGGAGATTATTTTTTGTCATACTGGCGTTCATTTATTTCGTGTGGGTGAGCTGTGATGTGCACATGGTATTATCTGATTTGAGAAATGTGATCTTTCTTGCACTTCTATAAGTCCTAATATTACTGAATTGTAATGCAAACAGTTTTGGCGTTAATCGTACACAGGTTATGAAAGAATACCGGCTTGTTGGTGGCTGGGAGAAATGAGTACTATAGGCCGCACGGTCTCAAATTACGTTTGTATGTAAAATAACATTCAAAGGTATCCAATAACAGTAATACAGTAAATTATGTTTATGACGAACACGCTTCTAACGAACAGACAGATTTAACTAACTTTGTTCTGTGCCTGACGTGTGCTGGATATTTAATCATGTTCAATTCATGGATATAACGGACAATCTTATAACGGGCTGACGGGTAAATCGATCTCACTTTGTGACCCAATGTGTCTTCATTCAACGAAAGTCTACTGGTTAAAGCGTTCGTTTGTCACGTCGGAGACCAGGGTTTGATTCCCCACATAGGTACAATGTGTGAAGCCCATTTCTGGTGCCCCCCGCCGTGATATTGCTGGAATATTGCTAAAAGCGGCGTATAACCATACTCACTCACTCGCTCTTTCATCTCGAAATGTTAATCTTTGCGCTGCTCACATCTCACCACCCAGAATAACAAGACGTCAGCAAGAACCTGAAAAGGAGCCCCATTGAGATCAGAGATTAAGAAAATCTAGGCTTGCTTTAGCTATAGCTTTGCATTGATAAAAATATTTTGCGGAAGGGGAAATACTGCGGTTTGGGGACTGCGAGATGGAAGGCTGTAGACGCCAATACAGGAATGCGATTTTCACTTGTCATGTGTGAGATGAACATAATGGTTCTTATTATCACTGTACCTAAGGTGATGCTGATTACCAGCATCCCAACATGGCGGCAGGTAAGATCGCTTGGTGATTAATCTCCTCGAATTAGCAGTCTTCCAATTATATACAATCAACATTATTTAGCACACTGATAAACTTTGATGGTGTGAATACACTGAATGCACTGGATTTGCTTATTAATGTCTATGTGTTGAAGAATAAGCATTTTTTAAATAGCGCGGGGATGTCGGTAACTCAAAGTCTGGATGTCGGTAACATGCAATGAATGATGCTTGTAACTTATACTGTCCTGCTTTAGTCGGTAAACAAATATTGTCGATTTATGTTTAAATACGAAGGCGATACTAATATCAGTTCGTACGTTTTACACATATGTGTACTGCTGCTACATTAACAGTTGGAACGACTTTTTCTGTGCGCCGGAAAGTTGTTGCTTGTCTTGGAGCAGGGTGTGTTTAATCACAATATTTATGTGGCGTTTCTTTGAACTTGAACGGATTTAGATGTGTGTACCCATTGTCCATTACACTGAGAGCTTTTTCTCTGTCCTTCCTCAAGTCGGACATTTGACATGTTGATTTCGTTGCAATAGTACATTTTACATCGTGCATTTATTGGGTAGGGATGAATATTTAAAGCTTGTTTGCGTGCGAGTACATAGTGCATATAAAACAAAGCATTGGACTTGAAATAAAATGAGGCGAATGTGACGTTCATATTTAGAACCATGCATAAAGTTTCATAGGGAGAAATACCTGTCCAAAAGACTGAAAAAGACTGTAGGCGTAATTTCCGCCAAGGTCAGTAACTTGTTTGTCTGATCCTGGTGTGAAATCTGTGTGGTGGAATAAGATGCACACATTTGTATCATCGTCCCTAGCCTTTTCTTGTGCGACGCGTACGTTGATGTTAGACGTACTTCTAACAGGCAACGGCCTAAATACAACCGCCCAGAAATGAACTCAACGACAGTGAGATACGTGCAGGTAATGTTTATTCGGAAGATTTACCAATATTGCAAACACACATTACTATACATCCGCAGACTTTCATGTGATTATGAGTGTCACTATAGATAAGAAGTAGATGACATTTACTCTGTGTCAGTGGTCACTTGGGGACAGGTCCACGTCATCAGTAACATGTCATCAATGGCCGAAAGGTAACCAGGGGAGAATTTAGTCTTCTTAGCTACAGTGAGGTAATAACATTGTCATGAAGCAGACTAGGATCAGAATCACTTGCTGACAGGCCCGATATATGTTTCGAGAAATGTTAATGGATCTTTCAAATTGTTTATTGGGATAGTTGTTTAATGTCATCAGAAAAACAATCCGCGCAAAAACTCCTGTATAGCATACTGACTGATAGTACTGTAACCTTTAGTCTCTTAAACACAACTAATCAATCAATGATAAACGCAGCATGTTCCTTATGCTAACAAGAGGGGATTTGACCATTTACAAAACGTTATATTATAACACGAGTCAAACGGTATCGCTCTACTGTAATAGCACACACAAAGGCGAACACTGCAAACTAATACATATATTGATTCTAACAAAATGGATTTAAGTCAACAATGGTATACAAAAACAACCAAATAACAAAACAAATTACTTGTATCAAATCAAATCAT